TTTTTTTTTTTTTTTTTTTTTTTAATTTTGAGACAGGTACTCACTAAATTACTAAGCAGACCAGGCTAGGCTCAAACTTATGCTCCTGCCTCAGAATGCTTGGATTACAGGCATGTGCCACCATGTCGGGCTAAGGATATTATTTTCAAATAATGTATTTTGCCCTTGGAACTTGATAAAACTTATGTTATGGCCCAGGATATCATCAGATTTTATAAACGTTTCATTTATCAATGAAGAAAATATGAACTTTGGAGTTGTTAGATGCAGTTGGTATTCTTTATATTTTCATTTTTTCAAATTAATATTATCCAAATCTTGTATTGTCATAAAGATATTATTTTTTCTGATTATTCTGTAAGTTACACAGAAAGAAATCTCCCACTGTGATTTTGGATTAGTCTATATCTCCTTGGAGTACAGTCCATTTTTGCTTTACATCTTTTTAGTAGGTATATAACACATTAAATTATTGTATCTTTTTAATAAACCATGCTTTTTGTCATTATGATGTGAGATCTTTATCTCTAATATTTCTCTTTTGCCTTTAGATCTATTTTAACATAATCACAACAGTATTCCTTGACTTAGTATGCTCAGGCTATATCTTTGACCATATTTTTATTTTCACCCTCCCTGTTTGCTCATGTTTTAGATTTCTCTTTAGTAAGTAAGATATATTTGACATTGTTAAAATCTAATCTGCTATTCTTTGTCTCTTAATTAAAATATTTGAGTAATTTTGAACATATTTATGTTTAAATCCATTGCTTTGTATTGGTCTATCTTATAACCTTGCCATTTCCTTTTTATTGTCTTTCGTTTTATTCTCATGTGATAGTGGGAGATGTATTCTCTGTTTCTATTCTTATTTAATCTTCCTGGAAACTTCGGGTGCATATTAAACATCAAAGGCTAAAGTTAACCAGCACATTTATTCTCTAGCCAGAAAATACTGGACCTGAAGACATTTTAGTTCCTTTTGTTCAGTTCACATTTATATATTACCATTGTTTTGCATTTTAATTGTTTTAAAAATATCATAATACAGCACTACCCTTATTTTATCTGGGCACTGTTCATTTGGGTTTATCTGCATATTTATCACCTCCTTTGTTTTTCTTTTCTCTTGTGTCTCAGACTTTCTGCTGGAAATTATTTCCCTTCTTCCTGAAGCAGTTTTTCTGTAATTTACTTATAGTCTGCTAGAGTTGATCACATTGTTTCTCATCAGTAAGTGTTTGTTTCACCCTCATCCTGGGAAATACAATCTTCTGGGTTAGCAATTATTCTTTCAAAGCATAAAAGATATTCTCTCACCGCCCTTTGTTTCTACTGACACTATCGAGAAGCCAGTTGTCCATCTGAGGCTACTTCCTAAAGGTCACCTCTGCCTGATTATCAATTGTTCTGTAGGTTTCTGTGGTTTTAGAACATATATTTAGGTGTAGATTTCTTTTTACTTATTTTACTGGAGACTTATTAGAATTATTGAATGTCTAAATTGGAATGTTTATCAGTTCTAGAAAATTCTTAACTGTGGTCAGGGTGTTTTTATTTTGGCTTGGTTGGTTAGTGTTTTGCTTATTGAGATGGAATCTATTCTTCCCAGGCTGATCACAAACTCGTGAATTCAAGCGATCCTCCTACCTATCCCTCCTACCTCAGCTCCTCCCTCCGCCTCCCAGATCGTTTCCATCACAGGTGGGTGCTACCATGCCCAGTTTGTTAGCCACTTTTAGAAATCGTTTTGCTCATGTCTTTTCCTTTTCTATCTAAGGTTTCAACTAATATCATGTCAGATTTCTCATTCAAATTTTTCCTTCATATTTTTAATCTCTTTTTCTTCTTGCTGTATGTGAGATAATGTCTTCTGAATGATCTAACTTTTTTCTTTTCTCCATATAATCACTAAAGTACGTATTCATTATTTTAAAATCAAGTTCATGGATGTATCATTTATACAATTAAATGCACCCATTTCAAGTGTATAGTGCCCTGCGTTTTCATAAATCAACATACAGAATATTACTATATAATCATATGTATGAATATAGTTGCCCTAGCCTTGCTGCATTTACTATTGTCATTGTATCACTTTTTATTCTTAATCCATTTCTTCGTATTTAAAGCATATTTCATATTTCCTATATACAGCATATACTTGAGACTTACTTTTTTCAATCCAATCTGATATTCTTTGCCTTGTGATTATTTATTCTATGCACATTTAATATAATTATTCACATTTTAATGTTTGTCATTTTGCTATTTATTTCCTCATTATTTTTTCTCATCTGCTTTTTGGTTTTTTGCCCCTTCTTTTTTGTCTTATTTTGTGTCATTCAAAATGTCATTCAATATTTTTTAGTATTTCATGGTAATCCTCCACTAGCTGTTTAGTTTAATTTTTTAAATTTTTTTTAATAGTTGATCTAGCAAATAACATATATTTAATTTATCTCAACCTACTTAGATTTAATTTTGAATTACTTCAGAAAAAATATATAAACCTTGCAACAATATACTTTCATTTACATCCATGTATCATTTGCTGTGCTATTTGTCATATTTGCCACACTTATATAGGTTTAAATTCCAAAATTTGAGAGAAGTTCCTCTTTAAGCTATTATATATTTTAAAGTATAGAGAAAATAGAATAAATACATATTTCTAAAATGTATCTTTCTAAAATTTGAGGATTTAGAGAATTAAAAAGCAAAAAATTTTAAAAGTAATATGTTATTTATATCAAGAAAAAAAATAAACATTTCCCATGGTAAAAGTGAAAACTCAAAATAGAAACAAAAAAGTGTACAGTAAAATGGAAGCCTCCTCAAGACTTTAATATGTTCATTACTATTTTGTGGCTGGTGATTCAGGAAATCATATGATACAGTTGAATGTCCTGTACTATTAACTGTATATTACTTTTACCAAGTCACTTACCATTTCTGGTGTTCTACATTTCTTAATAGTTCAAATTACCATCTAGTATATTTTTCCTTCAGATAGAAAACTTCCCCTTAAAGTACATCTCTAATAAAAATTAGTTATCTCTAGTTTTTATTTTTATTGTTTTGCTTTTATTTTCCACTTAATAGTTTTATTGGACATAAAATTCCACGGTGATAGATATTTCCCTTTCAGCAATTCCAGAATGAGACAACATTTTCTGGCCTTCAATATTTTTATGAGAAGTCAGTTGTTAATCAGATTATCGATCTGCTGTATACAGTGTGTCATTTTCTTAGATTACATTGGAGATTTTCTCTTCATTTTTGACTTTTAGTAATTTGAGTATAATGCAGTTAGATATGTTTTTCTCCGTATTCATCTTCCTTAGCTTCTGGGGAGTCTGAAACACTTTTTTCACTGAAGTTGAGATA